AAAATGATCGTAATTGACCCCCGCAATCGAATATAATTTTTCCTAAACGATTTGAAATTTTTTTTTCCGTCCAAAAATTTCACATCTTCTCGAATTTTTTTCTAGAAAATGAGTAGGATTTCGGGGGTAGGTCTATTCACCGAAAATGATTGTAATTGACCCTCGCAACCGATAATAATTTTTCCAAAACGATTTATAATTTTTTTTTCCGTTCAAAAATTTCACACCTTCTCGAATTTTTTTCTAGAAAATTCGTAGGATTTCGAGGGTATGTGTAATGACCAAAAATGATTGTAATTGACCCCCGCAACCGAAAATAATTTTTTTAGAACGATTTGAAATTTTTGAATTTAATTGTTAATAACTTTTTAAGGAAGCCTTCACCAACAAATTGGTATTCTTGATTTTCGTCTTATTTTGGCCTCTAGAATCCCTCATTAAAATGCCCTTTTGAACACCCTGTATATTGTAAATATTTGAATTTTCTTGCGATGAATCAGGAAGTTAATATTTCCGCGAGAGTGTATAAAGTTTTTCTACACGAGAAAGGTTTTTACGAATTCAAGTCTCGCGGAAATACGCCCGCCGTTTTCGCCATTTTCACGAATTTATTTCTTAAAAACGGAAGGGAGATGCTCCTTGCTTTTTGAGGTTGTTTCGTAACGTCTTCCCTTGGATCTATAAAAAAGGAAATGGATAGAAGACTTGGATCCTTTGTTAAACGCGGTAATCCTTTATGTGGGAGTGATCAAAGGGAATATCAGCGATTATTGAACGAATTTTCTGGCAGTTCGCCATAAGAAAATGAGGTGAATATTTGCGTTCGAAGCAGTGATCAAGAATAAAAAAAAATCACCATATAGTGATATTTATTAAATTAACAAAAATTTAAAAAAATTTTGAATTAACAATACGTATTCCAGAAATTAATTAAAACGTTTTTATGATCGATTGGACAATTGACCGTAGATCGACTTTCACGCGAGTAATATAATTAGCCGTATCGCTATCAACAATTCACGACGAAAATCGTGCCAAATCATGCTCAAACACACGCGGGTATTAATACCCCTCACATATTTCATTCTCGTAACAATGCTCCGTTTATAATCTGTAATTCTCTGTAATGCGGAATAATCTCCAATGTAATATCTCGTAGAAGCCTCGATCGATATTCGCGTGGTATGCGCGTGTATTTCACGACTCGGAACAACAGCGTGTAATCTTATTGTTAGCCGACAAAGATGGCCACCTTGTTCAAACGCACGATAAAGTTGAATTTGAACCAACTCAAACGGCACGCGACGTCGAAGAACGAAAGGAACTTGGAGTTCGAATATTTATAAATAATTTAATCTTGGCTTTTATTATGGAGACGATACATCGAAATCTGTCGCTTAACTCGACCATTCGAGTAATGTAGCAGTTTCTTTATACGCTTCGAAGCATAAGCTTGTTTTGTATCTCGAAACACGACGTAACCAAGAATTACCATTTTCACATTGGTTATTCCTCTTTCAATGGTACAACGATACTTCGCTGCCAGGAACTTTTCTTACTTTTCTGAATACCGGATACAACGATCGTGAGTTTCACCCGAGAAGTTTCTTCCGCGACTTTAGTCATTTCGTCGCGCTATAATCAGCATTTCAATTACCAGCGGCGAACAATGGGCGCCAAGCGGGAGAGGCAATAACAAAATGGAGGGAAGCGCAAAGAAAGCGCGTATCTTAATTACTTGGAAACGGGGAGACTTTTAATATAAAAATATAGTTTTATTATAGGGCTCGAAGTTTTCTTGTTATCGCTGTGTCCGTGTGGAAACTTCTCAGGGCATCCATCAACTCTTTACACACGGGACTTTCAACAGTCGTTAAAGAGAATTCGAGCGCGATGATCGATATTTTTCAGTTAAAAGCTTGCCGAACTTGATAAACTGAAACACGCTGGACAAGTTGCTGTAAATACGAGCAAAGTTCACGGTGAAATCGATCGCGAAGGTACCGGAATTTTTACCAAACTAAAATTGGGAAAAGTTGGGAAAATTAATTCGTCTCGTCACCGGCGGATCTATCCCTTTTTTCGACTGTGTTTTTAATTCGTTCGAAAAAATGGAAATTGTCAGGAAAACGCGAACGCAGCGCAGAGAACGCTGAAAAATCGTAATTTTCGCCGAGCAAGCTAAATTCGTCCCTTTGCTTTCAAACTGCACTCGCGTTCGAATGTATCACAAAGGGAACGTTCGAGTAAGGCTAACTCTATAAAAAGTGTTATATTTGCATGATTTAAAAAAATATCTTACATTTCATGGGAATCGACACTTCGCGAACTGTGCTATTGGAAAATTATATTAAATTCGAAACAATTACGACAGGTCGCGTTAACAATTTAATCGCTTCGAGCTTTATTTTTACAAGATGGTTAAAATTGTAGAAACATTTTATTGCAATTTGTCTGAAAGTTAAAAGAGTTAATTGAGAAAAATTTGTACAAATGAACTGTGGCAGCCATTACTGTAAATCCAGTTACATCGACGGGCGGCCATATTTTCCACAAGCTGTTAATACTTTCAGTCGAAAGTTTTATTAGTTTCACGGTATGTCACTTCCACTGAAAGATGTAGTTTCGAAAAAGACGGATTTAAAGTTCCCGATCGGAACTCTTCGACGTGCAATCTTCATCAAACTTTCATAACTTTAACGTTCGACTGTCGATTTTGTTAAGGCAAGAAATTAAATGCTCGCAAAATTGCGATTAATTTGTGATCGATTTGCGAAGTAAATCGTGAAACCCGAGGGGAAGAAAGTATTTAATAAAGTCGTTCCTATTTAAGGGTACTGTTACAGTTCCTCCTTAAGAGTCCATTCGTGTGTCGAAGGTCGAACGCGAAAGTGTCCGATATAAATTAAGAAACTCGTTTATATGCGACGTACAGCCTCGCGAACGACCTTTCTTTGGTTTTACCGATTACGGAGGCACTTCTCTTGACGGTCCTGAATAATGCAACGGCGACCGACATCTATAGCGGCCCTGCAAATGTCGTCGTTTCGACCGAGAAATCCGTGATTTCAACCACTCGAGACTCCCGATATTTCCATCTGAACGTTGCATATGGAGAAATATGGATAGAAAATAAATAGGCCTCCCTCGATGCGTAACAATCCCAATGAAAACATTTTAAGAATATAATTTACTTGTTCTGATCATTGGTGCAGTCGCTATATGTATAGTAAAATTCCGATTATCTTCAAACATTCTTAGAATTTCTACGTATAGTTTAACAAAATACGCGTTGTTTGCATTTTGAAACGTTGGAATACTCCAATCCGTTCAGAAGTTATGATGGTTTGAACATACGCATGAAATTTCAGTGAAACATATCAATGGTATGGTCAGACATTAGATTTTTGGTAATGAATTTTTTTCTCGAAAATGCGTAGGAATTCGGGGGTATATGTTTCCACCAAAAATGGTTATATTCAACCCCAGAACATAGAAATAATTTTTTTAATACGATATGAAATTTTTTAATTTTGTCTAAAAATTTCACATCTTCTCGAATTTTTTTCTCAAAAGTGCGTAGAATTTCGGGGGTATGTCTATTGACCAAAAATGCTTGTAATTGACTCCTGCAACTAAATATAATTTTTTTAATATGATTTGAAATTTTTTAATTTCGTCTAAAAATTTCACACCTCCTCGAATTTTTTTCTCAAAAGTGCGTAGGATTTCGGAGGTATGTCTATCCACCAAAAATGCTTGTAATTGACCCCTGCAATTAAATATAATTTTTTTAGTACGCTTTGAAATTTTGTAATTTTGTCTAAAAATTTCACACCTTCTCGAATTTTTTTCTCAAAAGTGCGTAGGATTTCGGAGGTATGTCTATCCACCAAAAATGCTTGTAATTGACCCCTGCAATTAAATATAATTTTTTTAGTACGATTTGAAATTTTTTAATTTTGTCTAAAAATTTCACACATTCTCGAATTTTTTTCTCGAAAATGCGTAGGAATTCGGGGATATATGTATTCACCAAAAATGGTTATATTTAACCCCAGAACCTAGAAATAATTTTTTTAAAACGATTTGAAATTTTTCAATTTCCAGAAAAATTTCACACATACTTGAATTTTTTTCTCAAAAGTGCGTAGGATTTCGGCGGTATATCTATTGACCAGAAATGCTTATAATTGACCCCTGCAACGAAATATATTTTTTTTAGTACGATTTGATATTTTTTAATTTCGTCTAAAAATTTCACACATTCTCGAATTTTTTTCTCGAAAGTGCGTAGGATTTCGGGGGTATGTCTATCGACCAAAAATGCTTGTAATTGACCCCTGTATCTAAATATAATTTTTTTTAGTACGAATACTATTAAATTACATTATCGTTTAATTTTACTTGGATGCTATTATTAAATTATCTGCATCCACGAGTTCTATTGTTACCATTCATGTACGGTATGTCGCCGTCCAAAGAGCTGCTATGTGATATCGAAACTTCCAAAACGCAATGTACGAATGCAGCGAAAATTGATACTGTTTTCACGTGTTGCGAGCGTTCCCGTATTGGAAGTTTCAATATTACAAAGCTGTATTCGTGGATACAGATAAACGCGAAGCAGAAAGCGTAGAAATTGTTCGTTTGCTGTTAGAATATGCTTATCTTAACGCAAGTAAGAACCCAGTATAGATCATCCACAGATACAAACATTTACATAACATCGTCTTCTCAATTGTGCTCGTGGAATATGTTCAGCGAAGTTTTGCCAGGGAAAACTGGGGAATTTTGCGCGTTGCGAATTTTATAAGATCGAATGCCGCTCGCTGCTCGATTCCATCGTCGCGTAATAGCAGCGCCATATTCCGTATTCCGTATTCCGTATTCCATCTAACCTTTCCCCGGTAATAATGTCATTATGCATCTCCCGCGAAGGTCGAGAGAAAAATCGCGCATTAGACCGTGAATACTAATGGAGAACTGTGTTCTTCCAGAAAACGCGAGCCGCTGGTGCAAGCCCGACGGAGAGTGGAGCACCTACACCAACTACAGCCTCTGCCGCGACATCCGGGAGCCCACGATCGAGGGCGGAACGGAAGTCATCTCCACAACGATTTATTTCGTCGGTTACAGCCTCTCTCTGTTCACCCTCATCGTCGCAGTCTCGATATTCCTTTACTGCAAGTAAGAGATTTTCATTCAAATCGCCGGGCGTCTAACGAACACGGTCTTCAGGAAACGCGCATATTCCCTATTCTTTTCTCGTATGCGGAACCTTGGCTCGCGTTTCGCGAAAACGCGGAAAATTATTCAAACGTCCACGGTATTAAATAAATATTCAACCAGGTCGAGGTGGAACGGGTATATTAAATTCGTCTCGAAGCAGAAATTCCGTTGTCGTTTATTTTTACACCAAACAATGGACGACTGTGGATGGTGGCCTTTGTTAGAAAATTACACTGTTCTTAGCGGACTAGTTAATGTTTATGTATATTTTCTATCTAAAAAATCATTGAAATGCATTCTTCAACGAAGACAAGACAGCTTTAAAAAAGATAGCAATTTCACGAATCGAAACATGTTTCGTTCGTCGAGAATAATTAATCGTTTAATTAGATCGTGGAATACGACGTCGTATAAATCATCTGCCGCGCAACGGGCAATCGTACTAAAATTTTGAAACGAACATTCCGCTGTCCCCGACGTAGCTTTATCTCGGAGAGAAAAATGTTCTCCGGGGCACATTTCTATCCGGAGTGACGACTACAAACATAAGAATAAGGCTCCCCAGCTGGCACTGATAAAAACGAAACGAGGTTCGGCGGAAATTAACTGTAAAATATGTACGTTGTTTGAAAAAAAATATATTCTCGTGTCCCGTACGCGACGCGTCTTCCTCGTTTGTGAATTTTGCAACGTTAAGCACTGCACATTTTCGCCTCTTGCTTCGTTAACGTTGGACACGAACGAACATAGTAATACCGTTCTTTGCACTGCGGAACAAGAGACTGCTTAATTTGCAAGTTATACCGTGCTATGGAAATTATAATCGTTACAATTTTTGTTGGAACTTTTGTCTTCTACCTGTTTTAATATTAGCACTTTGAAGGGTAGTTTTTCCTCCGCGAACTCGAGTTGCTAAAAGAGGAATAGAGTAGTGTCAATTACAATCATTTTTAACGAATACACATACCCTCGAAATCCTACACATTTTCGAGAAAAAAATTCAGAAAGCAGGACAAACTTTTCGGAAATTTAAAATTTCAGATCGTTTTGGAAAAATTATTTTTGGTTGCAGGAGTCAAGTACAATCATTTTTCATTAATACACATACCCTCGAAATCCTACGCATTTTCGAGAAAAAAATTCAAAAAGCTGGACAAATTCTTCGGAAATTTAAAAAATTTCAATTCAATTTGGAAAAATTATTTTTGGTTGCAGGAGTCGATTATAATCATTTTTTATTAATAGACATACCCCCTAAATCCTACTCATTTTCGAGAAAAAAATTCAGGAAGCTGGCTCAATTTTTCGGAAATTTAAAATTTCAAATCGTTTTGGAAAAATTATTTTTGGTTGCAGGAGTCAAGTACAATCATTTTTCATTAATACACATACCCTCGAAATCTTACGCATTTTCGAGAAAAAAATTCAAAAAGCTGGACAATTTTTTCGGAAATTTAGAAAATTTCAATTCAATTTGAAAAATTATTTTTGGTTGCAGGAGTTGATTATAATCATTTTTTATTAATAGACATACCCCCTAAATCCTACTCATTTTCGAGAAAAAAATTCAGGAAGCTGGCTCAATTTTTCGGAAATTTAAAATTTCAGATCGTTTTGGAAAAATTATTTTTGGTTGCAGGAGTTGATTACAATCATTTTTTATTAATACACATATCCCCTAAATCCTACTCATTTTCGAGAAAAAAATTCAGGAAGCTGGACAAATTTTTCGGAAATCTAAAAAATTTCAAATCATTTTGGAAAAATTATTTTTGTTTGCAGGAGTTGATTATAATCATATTTCATTAATACACATACCCCCTAAATTCTACGCATTTTCGAGAAAAAAATTCAGGAAGCTGGCTCAATTTTTCGGAAATTTTAAAAATTTCAAATCGTTTTGGAAAAATTATTTTTGTTGCAAGGAGACGATTACAATCATTTTTCATTAATACACATACATCCGAAATCTTAACCATTTTCGAGAAAAAAATTCATTACCAAAAATCTAATGCCTGACCATACGTTGATATGTTTCCCTTAAATTTCATGCGTATGTTTGAAACACCATAACTCCTATAATAATGAATATATTTCAATGAAACTTTTTTCTGAAATAGAGCTCATGGACACCTACAAAAAACTACTAAACAACATTTCCATACAGTGTCAAATAAATTAATTAAAAATCAAAAAGGAATTTTTAAGAGAAATCAACAGGTTGCTTAAATTTTTTGACGGGAAAAAAATATTGAATCATTCCGAAAAAATTATTTTCAGTTGCAGGGGTCAATTACTATCATTTTTTATGAATACACATACCCTCGAATTCCTACGCACTTTCGAGAAAAAAAATTCTTTACCGAAAGTATAACGTGTGGCTAGAAATGTCTCTGTAATTTCATTTTCTATCTGACTTCCGCTTGTAGTTATTTCTGTTTCCAGTGAAATGAAATTGCCAGCGTGTTTTACAATTAGAAAGCCACGATTCTATTCGTAGAGATCCCTTTGTTATTGTAATCCATTGGTGGTTTTGTAACGCGACGTCTAGAAAATACTGTCCAATATTTTTCATTCGCGGGCCCATTCAACCGTAGATAACAAACGGTTTCGAAACGTGGCGGCGATTCACCTAGGAATCGTAGGGAAATTTCGCGTAACCAAATTGGCCTCTATGCATACGCAATCGAGCATCAACTGCACGCTCAAAGACACGCGACAGCAACTTTCCCATTGCTCGTTAACGAGCAAGAAAACGACATTTCGCCGTGGCACCCAGCATCCGATCATTTATTATCCCGGTAGTTTCAGGGACGTTGCATTTCCACGGGGGAAATAGAAGTTCATTCGAGAACCGAATCACGATCGCGACGAGTTCTTTCTATTCCCGAGAGAACGACTACCATGGATTTCTCTAGCTTGCATCTTTGTATTCAAATGAAACGCGAAACGGACGAGCTCCAAAGAGAATTGAAGGGTCCGGCTACCCGTAAAAAGGCAGCTCCGTTTTTCGAGAAAATGCAAACCGACGAGAACCAACGATAATTTAAAATGGTCAAATACTATTTACCTCGAAGCTTTGCATTTCTATAACAGTTATGATCTTCGAATGTTCTCTGAGAAAATAGAAAAGACTCTAACATAATAACACGTGGACTCACCCTCTGAAATTTCACCAGTGGCCTAAAAACTATCGGAGGGTCGAAGAAGTTGAAGGGAAACATCTTGTTGAGCATAACTTTGTTTCGAAGTCGCTATCTTTTTTTGAATTTCTTTTTAACATTTATGAGGCACGGTTCTGTTTCTATTATCCAATTCGTCCCACAAGTTTTCCATAGGATTTAGATCCAGTGTCCTCAGAATATGTATCTCCATAGAGCTTTTAAAATTCTAACAGCGCTTGATTTATTTCGTGATAAATTAAAATAATCGATAAAATATAATTTTCCGTCTCCAGTGTATGGAATACAGCCCCGGATGTGTTGCCATATTTTCTTTGAACGACTCGGTCCGGAATTTGATTTGTAAAGGTAAAAGAGCACGGGGCTGACGTTATTTTCGTTGACAAAATAAACTTATCGTCTCTCGTTTCTCAGGGACACGGTACGAGGAAGCAGTTCCCGGGTTATCGAGTTGTAAGTGCCTGTGTCGGCCATCTTGTTCGTAAACGAAACTTCAATGATTAAGAAATTGATATTAACGGCAACGGGGGGGATGTAATATCGCTCCCTCGTGTCAGGTTCGATGCAGAAACGTGAATTTTACGTTCGCTGACGGTGTAACGTGCACCGTAAGACGAGAATTTCGACTCGGATCGGGCAAGTTTCTTCTTAGCCGCTCTGGGGATTCGGCATATCTACGCAGAAATAAGTTTAGTTTAGAGTTTCCCTGCCGAAGCAATCTCTAGTTCCTAATAGCCACGCGCAGTTGAAATTGCAACCAGCGTTTCAATCCCCATAGTTTTGCCCTCCCCTATAGATTAGTCTTAAAATAACTCGACGGTGTAAATAGAAACGATGCTCAAAGCCGCGGGGTCGGTCCCTGCGCGGCGACGAGATTCAATAAACGTCCCGCTCCAAAAGTGGAACTTTGGCATATAACGCGGGAACCTGCTAAGTACTAGGTCGTCGTTGCTCGAAACTTTTCTTGGTTTTCGATCCTTGACAACCACCTTCGTCCAAACTTTACACTGCGTCGCGAAGGCAAATATTTGGTTGAATCTCCAGAGCGTGTGCCCAATTTGTTTCTCGCACAGCCAGCAATTTAAGCTCCTACGTTTCAAACGATGCTTCTGCGTAAAGTGAAATCGTTGGAATGGGTTCTCGTATTTTGTTAGAACTATTCCTAGCATATCAAAGTTTTGTATACAAATCACAAATCAAGTTACATCGACATCTGGTTACATTGTGTAGGACAAGTGCAGATAAATTATTGTAATACATATAAATGAGTGGAGTGGACTTGCTACTTGTTGACACATGGTTACAAGTGGTATTCCATAGTGGTCAGTAGTGGTCACTAGTGGCCAGCAGATGTCATCAGTAGGCAGCAGCACTGATTGACTAATTCACTGTTGACCATCGAGTAACCAATGATCCATCAAAACCACCACGAAATCGAAGATTAAAGCCTTCTTAAAAGGATCCCCTTAACATTCTTTTTAACATTTTGTTCCACCTTGAAGGAGTGTATCTTACGTTATAATAGACACACGATACAGAAGTTGAACACGTATTTCGATCAAAACTAGGAAGTAAAAGAATGTTCATCAGACGATACAGTAAGACATACATATAATTTAGATTTATACTTACCACTGGAATCTATGCTTATTCCAATACTATTAAGCATCTTTTAATAATCGTAAAAAGCACCAAGAAATTTACCAAAGCAGTACTACTCCAAGAATAATAGTCGACAGAAACTGTGATATTTCGAAGGTTCTGACCAGGTTTTTG